GCTCCTCTGGGTAGGAATCCACTACCGGGAGGGTCAGGGTAATCTACCCTGACCCAAAAAAAACACACGCACTCGGAGGGTCAGGGTAGATTACCCTGACCCTCCGAGTGCGAGTGTTTTTTTTTGTATCGCAAGCGGCTATGGTGGCCGCTTACCATCATGCTTGTTTACCACACTTTTAACATTAAAAAAAACGAGTGTGCTTATGACCACACAACTGAAGTGAAACTTCTTTAGCTCCATCTGTATGTACAATATATATTTGTACATATACATATTTCATTTACTAGCTATACGAGAAAGAGAGACAGAAAATGTGCGCGCGCACTGCTTTCTCTTGCTTATATCCCCCACTCAACTCCCGTTCGCCTCGCCCGAACTCACTTTTCGTAACGCGTAACGCATTCGCCAGCTTACCTCCCAAGTCAAGCGTGCCTAAAGAAGTCACTTTAACAACAACGACACATACTTTCGCATTAGATCGTTTGCCATTAATCTATCAGCGTTTCTATTGCACCGTAAATACCATACGTACCAATACCAATACAACCGATACCTATTTTGTTACTGCCCATCTATCACTCAGAAAGTAATCCGGTAGTGATGCATTTTAAGATTTACGGGGGCAATAACTGCTGGACGAAAATAGATCTTTGATGTCTACTTAGCCTGCGTTTTGATGGGCTTTGGTAATTGTTTGAGTTAAGCAATGCAACGATAAATGAAAACGTGGGTAGGCGAATGGGTTAAGGGTTAAGTCACCTTATCTATACATACCTATAATAAAATGGTAGGAAAGTCAAAACTGTACATGGAATATTTTTTTAAAGAATACTTGGGGTGTGATCTACAATCGATACCGAAGCCAAAAATATAGTTTTTAGAATTTTACTCTGTTTGTCTGTTTGTATGTCCGGGATAAACTCCAAAAGTACTGCATGGATTTACTTCAAATTTGGCACGAATATTATTAAGAAGTCGGGTATATATTATCACGCCATTACCTACGGGAACGAGCAGTGAACCTTTATTTCTAACTAACAACACGCGTACGAATTTGCAGGCGGCCGCTAGTTAACTTATATTTCTGTTTCCTAAAGGTTGACTGGCAGAGAATGCTTTTAGCGTTAAGTCCGCGTTTTGTCCATTTTTACAATTGTGGCAATAAAGTTTAAATAAAGGGCCTCATTTTAAGAGAGGTGGGTAGTCACGAAGTTAGATGTTTTGGCAAAAGGTGCCGCTTCAGCCATCTTCACCATGTCGGCCTGAACCCAGTCGCCTAGCCCGCGGAGCCCTAGAACTATAGAACATAGAGGGTGTATTCCGAAATATACATCAGTATACTGGCCAGTGGTAATAACGTCACGAATCCAACGCTATATTGTACTCGTATGCTACCATATTTTTACCGGGAAAACGAATAGGACGTATGACCGAGCGTGCGTGAGATGCATTCGAATTTTATTCCTTTTTTTTTAAAGAACAATAATGGCATCCGAACAAAAAGAATTCCTTTTAATTGATGAGGTGAATAAAAAATATTCTTTATGCGCACTATTTTTAATATTTCGCCGATTTATGACGTCAGTGCACTGGCCAATATATTTCGGAACAATTCCCCAGTATAGCGTAGATCCATGACGTCATTAGCACTGACCAGTATACTGGTATATATTACGGAATACACCCATTGAGAGGTTAGAAGGATGATCATAGACAAACCGACTGATCATAGATAAACGGGAACCGATGACGCCGGCTCAGCCCTCACCATCAGAAACAATAACACCACCAAAAGGTAGTATTATTTCTGTGCGGAAAGAGAATGGGATTTAGATTGGAGGGCGCTGTTGTGCTTTTCTACCGTATTTGTAAGGTTTTACCCCTTTTGATTAAATACAAAAAACCGCAAGAAATCACAACAACAAACAAATCCGTATCAATACAAAACTTTGACGTTTTACAGATTGCTGGGTTTGATTGCCAAATAAAAGTCTTAATGTTAGTTCCGTTTTTCGCCACGCCCATTCTCTTTCCGCACAGACTCTAGTAGTGTTATGTTACTGACATCTTCTGTAAGGTGCAGGTTGCTTCCCCAGATAGGCGCCTCCATTCAAGCGAAAAATCCACCTACCTTAAAAAAAACAAATATAACAAATATTTGTTTTTTTAAGTCATGAAATTCCATTTACAGTCTAAAAAAGTCTGTGTTACTTTTAAGTCGTGAATCAGTTTTATTCGATTTCAATTGTTCATTTAACATCCTTAGATATTAATGAGGTCAAGCTCACGCAATTATAGCCTTATTAAATTGCTAAAACGCTGTATTCTACTTAGATTTAACAGGATTTTCAGTGTGGGCTTATCACCTAGCCTAGTCTAGTAGATATGACATCAGCAGAGGGATGTTGTTGCGATGTTATCGGGGCTATAAACTCAATTGGCCTTCCCGATCGCGAAATTGACACAAATTGCTGTCACCTATATATACTTATTCGTGGCTTTTATGCCGCCAGCCGCCGGGCATAAACATGGTGTTAGGCATTCGACCCACTGCTGACAATGAACGGGAAACGAGTGTAGCTAAAAACTAGAAACCAGTTGGCGAGTAAGCGAGGGTGTAGTTTTGAAAGTTTAAGCGCTGGACATTATTAGTGTGAGCGAGAGTGAGTGAGCAAAGCGCGTTTTGAGATTTATAAGCATCGCTGAGCGAGTATTATCTTGATAGCTCTTGTTGCTCAACGATGAACTAGTGGAGAGAGTTCTCGCCGGCATTGTGAACAGTCAGCGATCAACTATTAATATATGCATCTCTTTTGTTTACACGGAATGTATTTCTATTGTACGTTTCTTGAGCGAGAAAATAACCCATAGCTAGTCGCTTCCTCGCGCCGGCTCGTTTGGACAATTTCCTAAAGATGTCTGCACATATTTACATGTTTTTGATTTAAAAATATACAAGATTTGGCATTTCCTTGATTATAACTATAATATCTGTTTTAAGCAAGTAGCGAATTTTTTTTTTGAGTTAGTATGCTGTTGGTTGTAGGTGACCTTTACAGCTTCACCGGGTTTAGGAACGGCGAGATCCTAAGGGGACCTCAAGCCGAGAATTGGCGAGTGCCTCTAGAGTAATTCCAGGCGGATGGCATCTCCCCACGGGAAGAGTCTCCTCTCCGTCTGGAGCCTCTAGACCACTCGAACCTGAAGGGGTCGGCTCAACTAGAGGGCGTCTCTCAGACTCAGACCTCGGCTCTAGTAAGCCGTTGTCGTGGGGGGAATTTTCTAATGTTGACTAGATAATTCCGCAGTCATCTTATTAGAAAGATCCATTAGTAAACAATTTGTTCCTAATACTTAAAAGTATAATAACCTGGTTTGAAGTACCTTAATTGTATGTAAGATACCTACTCTTATTAGTCGTTGTCGTCAGATGTCTATTAAAACGAATAACCCCAATCTTTTACCTACTACGATACCTTCCTTCATCAGCACAACACTTATAAACTCAGCGGTCAAAATAATAATAAAATCAAAACAAGGTCACGGACATCTCTGCAGACAGATCTTATTAACATTGACTGTGAATATACAGTCAGCTGGCATATAGGGATAGGGCTCCCACACAACTGCGAATTCGCAACGCATCGCCAATACCTGTGAGCGAGCTCGCACGAATGCACCGCAAGAACTTCCGATCTGTTTCGCAAGGCGCATTTCTGCGACATAACATAACACTTGGTGATTGGTGAGCATATTAGTCCGCTCTGAGACAGCATAAGGGAAAGACGCCCCGGCGCCGTCATCGTTGTGTGGAGAATGGCGGAATATGACGTGGATTGTTTAATATCTTTAATAGAAAAGCGCCCGTGCTGTGGGGCACAAGTGAAATAAAAAAAAAACTGTTCTCAAACCGTAGTATTTTCGAGTTAAACAGTTCCCTCAGTGTTCTTAATCGTAACAAATGGATGAACCTGAAATCTAATTTTTATTCTATATCTATTTGACAATAACCGCAGTGCAACAATCTTTTTGCGATCCATATCACTATACCTAAAGAAAAACACGTCTAATACCGCTGACTATATAATTCGCGGCACGAAACTCTAGCGCTGACCGTTATTGCGCAGATATAAAAATTAAGATGTCTTGGGGGGAAACGAGGTGCGCGGGTGGACGTGCGTTGCGCCGATTGGCTCTCCAGTCGTACCCATGAGCAGCTATCCGCTCCGCGTTTTGTTCAGCGCTAGAGTAACGTGCCGCGACTTGTACTTGAAGATCTGGTCACCTGAATCAACGCCTTGCTACACGAAATCATGTCGCAGCAATTCGCATAGCAAGTTCCTGCGTTGCACTTGCGGCGTCGCATTGCATCGCATCGCCGTTTTGTATAGGAGCCTTTAACAAACAATCCAGCGTGGGAGAAGTCTTCCATTTCAACCAACATAATATTAAACACTTGCTTACCTATATAAATAGTTTCGCTCAACAGATACATCTTAGGTGCAAGGAAATCCTCGGTATTTGACCATAGACACATTCCTTGAACAAACACATAGACAATAGATGACTGGGCTCTTAGAGTTAACTGGAACGTCTGCAGACAGGTTACATTTGGCTTTCATCAGACACCTAGGTTTTAACTAGTTTCATGCGTTTACGATTAAGACGCGATGTGTATTGGTGAGACCGACGCAAGAAGAATCAAATACAATTCTCAGAGCGGGATATTGCGCTACATTCTGTATAGCGATCATCACTCACTCTAACGATAGAAATATAATCGCATTAATAGTTCCATTCCACATCTTCTGGGCCCTAGCTCCACTAAGTTTCACAGCATTCAAAGTCTCGTCCAAAATCCAATGGTACAGCTGCCTATCAGTTCAAATAAACCTGTCTGCAAAGATCTATGTTTTCTCTGAATGTTGTTGTCTTAGCACAAGATGTTCCGAGTTTTCTCTATGAATAGAGGAGTTTATCAAAGTTTTGTTTTCCAGCACCTCGAGTACAAGAACTAAGTATGTGACGTCACCCGTGCCCGAGTGTTTAGCAGCATCTGTGATCTAGTGTTAGTGCTAAAGTGACTAAAGTTGTGTATTAGTGATTGCAATGAGTGGGTACCTGCTCTGGACACTTTTTTACGTTTTAAACGGGGATTGTTTGACCGGAGAACGACTGTGTTAAACTGTGAGTATTATCTATATTATGCTTCTGTTCGCATTTCACATTGTCAGTTATTTTTATTTACTTTGAAGGGGACAGCGTAAGATGCAAAGAAATACAACTAGCCCCCAGATTTGATTTCAAACTTTATCTCGTGTAAATTTAGATTGATATTTTTTTGGCAAACCTGTCGCCCTCGATTCACTTAAATCCATTGCAAAGATCCATTGGGAGTATTGTTCCATGTTGTCTATACATACATCCGCCTTAATAAATTTTAGTTTTTTTTCTCAATTTATGAGTGAGTGATGAGCCAGGGATGTTTTCATGGGTCACCTATTCTTTAATGGATTTTTAGACCCACTGAACTTCAAAAAAGTCCACTTTGCAAAAAATCTTAGATCAAGGATTAAAGGGGACATAAAGAGTGTAAAGAGATTCATTAATGAATCTTTGCAATGAGGATCCGTAACGATTTTAGTTGAGAATGCAGATTTATAGAACTAAGGATGCCATAAAATATAGTGGTTAAAATTTTGTTCTACGACAAATATTGACGAAGTTATGGCCAAATTACTAAACGAATTTTCGGCTGGCCGAGTGGTGACGGTGACGTCAAAGAGTTATAGTGCTCGGGCGCCAGCGAGCGTAGAGACGCTACTAAAGTTCGATCGGAGTGAACCACGATCGAGCTCTGTGACGTCACACGTTTCGGCCGCCGGTGAATAGCGGCTACCATAAAATTAGTTATAAAATCGCAAGGAATAGACCGATTTGGATGATTTAAAAAGTATATTAATAAAAAAAGCTTATTAGATCATTATACTGTTGATATTGAGTTGATTTGCTGACCTAGTAATGATTGTCATTGCAATGGATTTAAGTGGATCGTGGGACCCATTGGGTGTAACTTCAGTACTCTTGCCTTTTGCTCCGAAGGTTCGAATCCCGGCAGGCGTTTTTTTTATTGCCTTCGAAGGCAGACGAGCGGACAGGCCACGTGGTCACCGTCGTCCATGGACATTTATTCTCTGGGTGATGACGACAAATATTTGCTCCAAGGTCATGGTTTTCTAATATGTAGTCTTAAATTATATTTAGTTTCCATAGCACAAGCTGTGCTTCATTTAAGAGAAAATATTGTTGTTAGTTGGCGAGAATTTATAGGAAAAATCATCATAATAAGTTATAATTGTCAGTTTTGATAAACCTGTTTGTTGTTAACTTGTAACCGTACCAGTACTTGAGTAATCGCCACATGTAGGTATTTTTATTTATAACTTTTATCGTGTCAAGGTTTTATTACGTAAGTTGATGTCTCAAAGGTCAAGAGTGGCGATAATGGCGTGCAATTCTTTTTTTATTTTTATAAATATTTGCTATTAGCGAGAGAATAGGTTCGAATTTAGCATGTCTGACTTTTGAACTTGGGGCTTTCCTGTAACCTAGGTTATTCTTAAGGTACTTCAATGTATCGGAACTTACACTATTGGAAAACTTGTCGACCTCTCGGGGCAGACTTTGGTGTTGATATCTTTTAAATTGCGGGTTCGAATCACAGAGGTTCGCTGCAGTTTTCTAACTTTCCTGTTTACTAACGAAACAGGTGGAAAAAATTTTTTCGTTACAACAAATTTGTAGTGTACCTTTGATTATAAATATATACGCCTGTATAGAGTAATCCAAAGAAACCACGCAAAGAAAATTGTTCATGTTACGCGCAATTTGTGCGTAACTAATGTCAAGATTGTTTGGAAGCAGTGAATGTCTGAGTGTGTATGTGTAGCGACAAGCGTATCTACCATAATGTAGTAGATATTTTTTTGCCGATTCCGTGCTATCGTTCGTCTAGGCGTGTATTAAATCAAAGGCACCTACTAATATAATTCCAGTCAAATGTACACCCCATTCTATAATGATTCTACTGTGGTATTTCCAATACGGGGTACGGCAAATTACCCCACTCTACCTGATATTAAGTATCATTGGAGCGAAGATAGCCGATGCCGGCGTAAATCCAAACCCCCCCCCCCCCCCTCCCCCGATCCCTAAAGCGTCCTCACCAAAAAACTGAAAACCATAGGTAGGCCATTTGTCGACCGCTCTCGCCACCGGACCGTCACCTAGAACGAGATTATTTTTGTATGAGATTAGATGACTTCACGGGCTTACGGTGGACAAACGTCTATAGCAAACTCAAACTTATTTATTCAGTCTTGGCTGTTACAAGCTCTTGTGAAAGTAAAACGCCTCGCCATCGGTTCGTAAATATAGGGTGGGAGATCTTGTACTGAGAAGAACCGGCAAGAAACTCAGCAAGGGCTATTTTTGCAAGCAAATGTATGTGTCGGTACCTCGGCGCCTTCATTTCTCGTTGACGCCCCGGTGATGGTTGCGATGGGGAAACTGCTTTATCTGTCATCTGTAGCTTTCAGAGAATAGAAGGAGCTAGCTGCTGGTACATTCTCTGCTTCAGACCTTAAGGAAATTTAAATCGAGTTGTGTTTGTTGTTTTAAATGTTTCTTAACGTATTTCGTTTTCCCTCCTGCCAGATGGCGCACTACCCCCAACTGGCCTCGTTGGAGGCCGCGCTGCCCCTCCTCAGCAGGCCAGACCTTCGCCTGCGGCAGCAGCTGGGCGAGCAGCTGACCGCACTCGTGCGCAAGGAGCCGGAGATCTCGCACGAGCTGTGCGCCCAGCTGCTAGACTCGCTGGTGGCCTGGTTGAATGGGGGCAACTTCAAGGTAAGTCTATAGGACAATAAACACATTTATATTATCTTTGCTAAGGGCAATACCATCTATATATTATTCTACTTACACTTGACTGTCAGACCAGCACACGTGTCAGTCGATTGGCGTATGGACTCCACTGCAATCTGACATTGGGTTGGTGCCACGTCTTTTATCATATCCACCACTACCGGAGAGTACACACAAATTAGCTGCATGAGGCGCGTCGTGGTTTGACAGGGCGTAACTTGGGAGCAGTGATCTTTGTCACATACACAGAGATAGAGAGACAGATCTCGCACGAGCTGTGTGCTCAGCTGCCGGACTCGCACGTGTCCTGGCTGAAAAACTTCGAGGCACTCGATAGAACCATAGAAAACTTCAAACCAGAACAGATGTCGGCATGCCAGTTAGATTTAAGATGCCGTGGCTTCTATCATACTTTGCACTACCGAAGACGTTAAACAACACAAAAAGTAGCTTCTAGAGGGGTATCATGAGGCGACTTCAAGGTCAGCCGTTATCTTCGTCACACGCAAAGAGGGAGAGAGAGGCTCCGTTTGACACACACACACACACACACCATGTATTTTAAGCAATGCCATTGGTCAATTAGTGTACGATTCTGTTCAGTGCCCTTAGTACGAGTTTGAGCTCACGAAAACTATCATAGTTTTCGTAATTGTAAATTATGTTCCTACGTCCATTTTGGTGAAAAGTAACCAAATATACTTAAAATTTTAAAAGATGCAAATGATTTAATGATAGAATTTAAACATTGTTTATTTGTATGGAAACGAAAACAATAAAATCAGTACCCTTAGTACAAGTGCGAGCTCACGACAACTATCATAGTTTTCGTAATTGTAAAATTCGTACCAAGGGTACAGCTCTGCTTGTGTGGAAACGCAGCCAGTATACTTTCCTTCCCTTTATCTTAACAGACTCCATTATAATTTTAAGGTGAACTGATAGAGTATTGAAATAGGAAAGTGGATTACCCTACATTTGCTACTGAGTTCTCTTAATTTGCGCTCAGATTTCATCTTTGTTCAAAGACAGTCCGTGTTTCAATAAACCACAAACCCGGAAACGATTGTTGCGTGTGACACTATATGCAATTCTTTCAGCTCGCTATAAGGTTATCCGGCGCCAATAAAAGCCAGCAGTAATTAATACTACAACACCACATGTTATGCGCGCTGCAATTAAATGTATTGCTGTGTATATCCCCGACGATACATATTGAGACGAGTATATCATGCACAGTCTGATTCCGAAGCCGTTACACTTAGGGTTGTCACTTTTGTCATGGAAAAGATAAAAACAGTTTGGACAAGTGTGTCTCAAACACTTAAAGCTGCAGAAAAATCGTGATGTTCCTTTTCAGGTAGAGGAAGACCACTACTTTCCTTGTTTTTGCACTGTGGGTAGGCGCGAAAGTACGAATATTACGGCGACACTGGTTAGTACAAAAAAATAATGAAGGCAAATGAGCATAGGCCTCCTCCAACCAACACTGATAGATTCTGCGCTATTTGCATCCTTTCCTTTTATAAGAAAGTTTTTACTTAGCCATTGGGGGCAACCCTAGTTACGAGCCCGCGCCGCCTAGGCGACACACTTCATTGCGCGAGCGCGCAGGCATATTCTGAACAGTACCCCTAGTACGAACCATTATCGAATTCGAATAGTTTGCAAACCGAAATGTCAATGTCAAATTTTGTATGGAAACTTGAACAGCAGCGGCACAAAGTACGTAACGAAAACTAAAAATCAGTACACATTTGACAATAACATTTCGGACTCTCAAACGATACGAATTCGATATTGGTTCGTGCTAGGGGTACAGTGCAGGAATTTGATTGTATCGTTTCCAGTTTGAATGCAACCCACGGTCGATGCATATACGATTGTAACTATATATTGTAACTATTCTAAATGATGTAATGGAAGGTGACTTCAGAAGTATCTCTGAAGTCATTTTTCAACTTGACGACTCTTTGTATAACAATACAGGGAGAAAAAACAGCCCTTGCTGAGTTCCTTGCCGGGTCTTCTCAGTACAAGGTCTTCTGCCGTAGTTTTGCGAACCGATGGCGTAGCTTCTTGACCTTCCCAAGTGCTTGTAACAGCCTAGACTTAATAAATGATTTTGATTTTGATATGGATTAGACCTGTTTAAAAGACGTTTATTGAAGGGAAATTGGAACGCCCGTTTGGAGAAGTACCCTCCACCTTGCAGATGTCTACCACATTCCAAATTCTATTTTACAGATTTCTGTTATTGCTATTTCCTAGGAAATATGGTCAGGGTATATGCATATTCGTTGGTATCCCAAGCATCTATAAAATATGGTGCTGGTGGGCCATAACCTTAACCTTTAAAGAAAGAGCGTATTCCTGCCATAAAGGCTTTTTTTGTGTGTATTCTGTTACTCGCAGATGACGATGATGATAGGGGACCTCAAGCCGAGAATTGGCGAGTGCCTCTAGAGGTATTCCAGGCGGATGGTATCTCCCCACGGGGGGAGTCTCCTCTCTGTCTGGAGCCTCTAGACCACTCGAACCTGAAGGGTCGGCTCAACTAGAGGGCGTCTCTGAGACCGACTCGGTCCTCGGTTCTAGTTGACCATTGTCGTGGGTCGATAAAGACTGGCAACACATTTGTGACACTTCTGGTGTTGCAGGTATCTATGTAGCGACGGTGATCACTTACCATCAGATGAGCCGTCTTTTCGTGCGTTCCCTATTATATAATAATACAATACATGACATTTGCTGTGCTACCCTTTTCACTAAAACAAAATGGTGCTTAAAACAGTTGACGATATGGCTCGCGTATCCCTATTTAGTGAGGAGCTCGTGATGCAAATGGTTAGCGAGTTCGGCTGCAATCGTTGAAGTTGAGCAACTTTCGCAGTGGTCGGTCATTGTATGGGTGACCTAAAATGTACTGTGTCGAGCTCCTCCGTGCTTTTCGGAAGGCACGTTAAGCCGTGGTGGGTAATGACCCAATCTCCCTATTACAGCCATAGGAAGGCCTGTGCCCCAGCAGTGGGGACAAGGCTGATAATCATGATCCTTTTTCTAAGTAGTTTTATATATGTGTCGAATAATGGCACGGATTTTGCACTCGCCTTGTTTTCATTCAATCACATTTATGCTGAGCACGAATCTTGTCCTGTTCAAATCTACAAGCACGTCTTGTGCCATTGACATGACACACAGTGAGAGTCTGCGCACGTCTCTCAACTAACGGCAATTTAGTTTTGACCTTGATGTGATGCTAATAAGGTTAACTTTAATTCCTTCATTTGGTGGTTTAGATCTCGAGAGGTGAATGTAACCTTTTTGGATTACGATGAATGTAGATTAACAATTAGATAGTACAGATAATAGTGTACCTTTTTCTTGAATTGGCAATTTGGAATCGTGTCCGTTTAAGCAAATCACACTTAAACTGCTTCCAATATAAAATCTGCTATAGCTTTGGCCTTAAGTCGTGTTGCTACTTTTTCACGAGGTCAAACCTAATGATGAAATTATGACATTGACACTAGTAGAAGCCTGCAGCAACATCCGGGGACAGCTGAGCTTTCTGGAGGAGCTGGGATGGTAGGACTGATGTCAATCCCCTCGCAAAATAGGCACTGGGTGTCGAGTTGCGGAAACAGCCCGCCGTACTACTAAGACTAAGACTAAATGGTGAAATTATTGACAGCTTGATGATTAGCGACCTCCACGAGTGAGTACGGCTAACTAGAGCCGCGAGGTCCGAGTCTCAGAGACGCCCTTTAGTTGAGCCGACCCCCTCAGGTTCGAGTGATTTAGGGGCTTCAGACGGAGAGGAGACTTCCCCCGTGGAGAGATGACATCCACCTGAAATTCCTCTAGAGGCACACGACAATTCTAGCCTTGAGGTCCCCTTAGGATCTCGTCGTCCCCAAACCCGTTGACGCAGTAAAGGTCATCTGCGACCAACAGCATACACACTCAAAATAAAAGCTGAAGATTCGGCTACCGTACTCGCTGTAAAAACACGAAAAGTACTACAAAATTGTGTGATTTTGACTGCATTATTTTGTAAGATGGAGCAGAAGCTCCAGTATTAGGTGTAACATGTAATGCTTATGATGTATGCTCACAAATCCATTATGATGCTTTGCCCTTTTGAACGCGTGAGTTGTGATGTTAGTGTGCAAATTTTACCACGACAAAACAGCTTTGATATAATGGCCCGATAATAATGCAGTCTTCAGAATAGGAATGCCAAGAGAGAAATATTAGCGTGCTGAGATTACCATCAGTTTTGTTCGTCCCGTGGTGCGGGATAGGTATCGTATTAATACGTGTTTTATTGTCTGTTAAAAAAAATCTAGTTGAAGTGAACCTAAAGCATGATTTACCGTCATTTCCTCCAATGAGTTTGTCAAACTTTTGATGTCGAACCGCGGTGGTGGATATTGTGATTGTGTGGCTCAAGTCTACGGAACTGGATCTTAGGTAAAATTATCAAAATGGACATAAATAGACTCGTCGGAATGGAATGGATCGAATTGGAGTGATGCTCCACGTGTGAGCGAAATAATAAAACACCAATAGAATACCATTAGAGTCTTGGCTCAATAAACTGAGTATCCGTTGCCTTCCCAAAAGGAGGAATATAAGAAGTATTCCAACAAAAATATTTTCATGTAAAATATTGCCAAGACGAAACCATATGACTCGCACTGTCAAAAAGTTATCAGATCTCATGTAGAGCTAAGGTTCTAATTCTATACGCCCTGACTTTGCAAGGCCTAATTTCACAAACTCTACACCTTAGTTAAAAATAAGTGACTAATTTAAGTACCTAATTAAAGTTACCGCTCAAGTCTTGACCCAATAGATTGAGTATCCGCTGCTGTCCCAAAAGGAGAAATATAAAAATAAAATTTGGGTATAAACCTTAAAGTGTGATTCAGGAATTCTGACGTCATCGCCCCGAATCCACCGCGTTGTTTGTTTAT